TGGACTTTAGCGTTATCCAAGGACGATAACCAACAGCCCCCGACAAGGATTTGGTTCAGACCTTAGGGATATTTCCCCTATGGTAATAAGATAATCGGGTATCTAGGAGCCCCGCGTACGCTCACAACGTATTCGGAACGGGCCTCTCCTTGTGGATTTTATACGCCGCAAGATCGAGAAAGGCGACGGGAAGGTAAAATTACCCAAAGGGGAAATAGTCGTCACTTTTTAGTTTTCTTTTTGCTCGTGTTGAATTTCCTTTGTTTTTTTGTGGGCTGGGAATACGGTGCTGGAATGAAATGACTCATATGCCCCAGTATACACGCAACTTCAAAACTACATTTTTGAACCGAATCTATTGCTGACCGTGTCTCCTATCCAATATCTGTGCGCTATCGATGTGACATCGTGCAGGGCGGTTATGGCGGGTTAGAAGAATACCCTCGGTTCCCTGCGACAGCACAACAGCGAAATAGATTAAAACTTGCAGGGAGATCAAACCCAGTTCTATTATTATTGGATTATAGAAAGTAGACCGTAACGTTGTCTAAGAGACCATTGCAAAAGACCGAAGAGTCCTGTTTTTGATCCATATTCCATTGTGCCTCGTCAGCCCTAATATAGCTAGTTACCCCACCTAGTAATGAGGTAAAAACAAAGAGCGGTGGCTGAAGCAAGGATCTGCGCGTTCGTTACAGCCACTTTTTCCGATGACAGCGATGTGATAATTTCTGTCGGTCAAAACATCCTGACCGCTAATCACGGTGCTTTAGATGATCCATAATCAAAGTTGCTAGCCAGTCAGCGATCTCCACCAGGATCCGACTAGGGGGTTACAGACGGGATGAAGAGGGGTTGTTTAGCGAACTCCATTTGCCTACATTATACATGGACTCGTGCATATGCACATTATTGTGAAGAACCGTGCTATCAGACCATGCTTGCACGAATGATTCCCAGCTCTGACGTGGGACATGCGACTTATACTAGGCTAATAGCATGATGGAGGTGATTCAGATTCAGATTACATATTTTTGTGTTTCGGTAACTAGGACTTGGTATGTACATAGGAAAACATGTCTTACTATTTTTGCTTCCAAGATCCTCGGGGTCTTCCATTGGCTTAAGGAATTTGGTCGTTCTCGTATAGAGTACAAGCTAGTGTATTTTATATATGACATCGCTCAGGGGAACGTTCTGTTTCTCAATACTTCCAATGATTCCTTCTGGAAGGTCAAAAATACTGGTACAGTCAATATAGTAGTAACGGTAATCGAACATAGAGTCCACGTCATTCTTCTTCATCTTGACGGAGATACCTATCTACCCGTGGACTTCTTATATCGTCAAGAGTAATCTGCAAGATTTGAATGGCGTCATACTGCCTACAGAGGTATTCAGCCTCCTGCACTCCATTTTGATGTGCATATAAACAATACATACCAGTCAATCTTGCATCCGCTCCTTGCTACGATCAACAGCCCTAAATAATGACCCCCACTTTTGACGGCGGGCTCTCCCTATGGGACGAAACCTTCGGCGAAAAAACTCTCTTATGCTCTTTGTTCCCTTTGTGATTCTGTGGGGAGTGCTTCGATTGCCGGGATTATTTCTGTAATATCGATTGGATTAATAGGCAAAATAAAAAAACTTATTTCTCTCAAATCAACACTAATCTTCTCGTAAATTCCAGAATATCTATTTAATTGGACGACCTATACTATTTCAACTTTCAATCGTTAATTAGTTAGTAACCTTGGAATGATTGTGGTGACATCATGAAGACGCAACGAGAACCAAATTTCTTTCGTTACGGTATTACGTGTTTTGATACGCGTACAGTACGTAAAATGTCAGGTACATCGAATGTTCCTTGGGACCTTCCGACTTTGGAAATCCCAGTAAGACATTACAACATACAACATACAACATACGGAGTATAGCGCGAGCTTGTCGGGATCTGAGAAGCTCGGCGCCTTCCAGGGGCACTCGTTTTTTTCTTAATTAAAGAGGCAAATAAAAGGAAAATTTGAGTACTGAGCTATGGGTCTGATCTTCAGGAGAACGGAAGGGGCTTAACATCTCCATTTCCATTTCTGGAGAATTTAATATATATTCTCCCTTTCTGAGTGCCATTACTACTATGATATAACTGTAACATTTCAAATGTTTAGTTTGGGAAACTGCAATATATATTCCATCTCTGTACTGTAACACTCATTCAAAATAGAGTTACCTAGCACGATTTAGACTACTTTCAAGTATGCCAATAACAATCTTACATGCTAACATTGAATTATACAGACCCAGCGGAATGGAACCGTTGCGCCTCACTGGGGTCCTTGCTTTATCACCTTAAGCCTCGCATACACTTTCTTCCCTGGTTATATCATGCAAGCTGTGATTGACTTACTCGAAACAGCCATTCTTCCTCTCTAGATACCTATCAGGCATACAAACACCCCCGGGAATACAGCCCCGGCGACGAGCTACTCGGCCGGATGTACATCTTCTTTGGGTTATACCAAACTAGGAAGCCAGTCAAAAGAAGCACCCCGCTTTGACGCATGCACGTCGGCAGGCCTCTACCTTCGAAAATGACAGTGCATGCCAGATACTATCCACTAGCTTACCCAAAGAAGAAAGCCATCACAGGAACTGACACGTCTCAGACATCCCCCACTCTCGTCCCTTTCAGCCCAGCCTCGTCCCGCTCCTCCACTCCTTCGATCCGTGTTCGATGCTTCCAGTGATATGCAAATCAAGCGAGGCTGTGTTGTACAACATAGGATCACGTATAACCCCACACTAATACGAAAATGGAACAAAATAAACATGCAAAGAAGGCCATTTCACCATCCTCGGGCCTCTCTCTCTTTGATACGACACCCCCCGGGCTACCTCTCGTTGGCTCAGAATCATCGCCCCCAATCACCGACCCGGCTGTTGCTAGATGCTGGAGATTGTCTACCCCTCCTGGGGCATTTCGATTCCGACTGCAGGAAGGCGGATGTGTGTCTCTTTCCTTTTTTTTTTTTGCCTTTTTCCGCCTTCCTGCCGTGCATGTGACTCAACTTGGAATGAATGTTCCCATCATATCCGAGGATATTGGTGCAACAGTATCATAGGGTGCCCGTGGTTCGCACGTCACTGATTGTGTAACCATAATCATGCATTGCGACTCGTCCCGGTCCTATTCGAAATGATATCCTTGTTTGATATCCTTGTTTCAGAGGAAACTATCCCGGAACCGGCATGGCGCCATCACTCGTCTCACGGCTGATATGTTCGACTTTCCTACGTTGTACCTTTACGCCGGTGCCTTTTTTTCATTGCCGGTGCGGATTCCGGAATCAACTCCATCCCATGTCTGTATGAGGCACGGCTTACGGATTTCGTGCACGGTGTCGGGCGTTTCGAATGCTCGTTTCATAGGCGACGCGCGATCATACGATTAGGGAGATCGCATACGTGGCCATGAGTCGGATACCAAGGGAAGTACACATATGTTTCCCGAAGCTTGCAATACCTCACGCGACGTATCGTATACCTCGGACAAAGCGGGAGAGCGGGAGAGCGGGAAAGGGAACATCAAGAGATTGCAACAACCCATAAGCACGGAGTACTCCGTAGAATCCGGGACAATGTCTCACAGTCCACTCATCTTTGATTACCCGTCGTGTTGGATATCGTGGCTGAATATCTATCGCCGACAGATATTGCGGACCCATATCTCGGAATGACACCCGGCTCCAAGCGGCTCCGGCTCTTAGAAAAACAAATCCCCACTATACTAACCTGATCTCAGCCTCGCGATTGGTGCAAGTCGATTATGGATTGGATAGCAGAGACCTCTGGGCAGCAGGCTGACGCCATTCTGAAGTAGTGGTATCAGCCCCAGTGGGGCAAGCAAGACCAGGAAAATATCACCGGAGACGCCGTCGCGAGCCAATGTGCCAGCTTCCAAAGCCAGCCTAGCTGCTGTTTGCTACTAACAAATCCGACATCCCGCAGCTACCTCAAACTAATTTATCCGAAGCACTCATTTCCTCTACCAGTTCTACCACACATCCCCACACATCCATCCACCAAGCAAATTCGCGTTTTACCATATACCAAACATCCGGGACACAAAGCATTCGCCAGACATCTAGCGGTTTACACATGTCACAGATCTGAGCCTTCCCATATCCCGGAACCTGAAATCTTGAAACGGACCCCACACTCAGCTCCTGTGGGACAACGTGGCTTCCAGAATTTTCATCGAAGGTTGTCTAGCCCACCCCGGAAATTTCAGTAAAGGATCAGGGTCAAGTCCCAACATGTCAGGATCCAATTAACATGACTTCGAACACGAGCTGTTCCTTCCCTTCGCCATCTTTGAGGTCTATTACTGACAGAATCATGTCGCTCGGGAGCCAATGCCAGCGAATTTGGTCCGCAGGTCTTGGCGGTTTGACATTGAACCTCTAGCGCTACCCGGGACGACGACGGTGGCTGGCGGATAGGCGTATCGAAACCTGCTGCAGCTGTGGATCCTTTGCGGGTTCTGTTGCTGTCGCAACGAGTAGTACTCCGTATTATGCCCCGTAATATGGAATTCGTACGGGATCCCTCCGTGTACAGAGTACAGTATAGGGCTATAGTTGGTATTTGGCGGTTTCTTGTGGGTTTTGAATGCTGTCGTCTATTCTGGGGAGCAGCTCGGGGTAGTTTCGAATGAATAAATTGCTTGCATTCAGCCTCCTCTTAATTTTGGCGCATGAGCTGCAAAGAAGTACATACCTGTGAACCATGGGGTCGGTCAGGTGACTTTGGGCCGACCTCTTACTAGAACGAATCAATATCTTCCCCCAAGCTTTCAGTGCTCACGAAATGAGTCATTCCACTTTATACCTAAGAGTAAGACCGACCTGACGTGACAGTACCAAATAAATTACAACATGGTACATCGCTAAATTATCTGCTTGCTTCAAAGTATGTATCGAAATCCCTTAGTGATGCATACTGGGCATCGTCAGTTAAGTTTCATATGTTACAATATAACAGATCCCGGGAAGGAACGATGGACCGTTCTTGCCCATATTGGAAGGAAACGCTCCTTCCAACTAGGGGAGGACATTCTCGATATCCTTCCACAGGACTGTGCCAAAGCATCGAGATCCTGGGTCGAGAAACAAGTGACGTGGAGAAGGAAGGATGGGTTCACGGAGGACGTCCTGGAGTACTTCTACGACGACGATAGCGAGTAGTAGCTCTATATAAAGGAGTTTCTCGGGCAGTTCGCTCGTAGAAAGCGCACGATGGTAGATAAACCAGTATTAATTCAGGCGCTTGCAGTTAAGTCATAGCCCCCCCTGCCCCTAATACTCCTGATGTAGAGCTGCTCTATCTCCGACTGGGACGGTGAAGGCCGCTGAATATTTAGATGTTTATCTAGGAATTGAAATGTCTTCTGTACTGACAACCCAATAGCTCCAATCTTAGCCTGGAGCCCTCCTTCCGGGGATCGACCAATCCACATCTCTCGTCGGTCATCCCCGAGATGCTCGAGGGCGTTGAACACGCGGAGGGTCTCCTCGGGCTCGAGGTACAGCGACTGCGTAGCGCCTGACACGAGCACGGGACATTTTACGTCGTCCAGGCGACTCGAACCGTCCGGTCGGCGGAGAGTAAATTTCATCATCTCGACCAACGTATCCGTCGGGGTCTTCACCCCGAAGAACCAGATGGCCAATCCAATTTCCCACCGGGCCTGGAACGAACTGGCCAAGGCCATGGCCATCATGCTGTTGATCAGCTGCGTGGGGATCCAGCCATTGTTCCAGCCGTCAAGGAGCATCGGAGAGATATGGTTGCGGACAAAATCCCACATGTCGTAGAAGGGATCAATAGAGACGCAGGCATAGATGCGGGGGTCTGCCGCCGCGCGTAACGCATAGTATCCGCCCATGGAAGCGCCGGCCACTGCCACGCGGGAGAGATCTAGTTCCAGCTCGGGATACTGTTCGACAGACCGCTCGAGGAAGTCCAACACTCGGCCGACGACCACTTCCCAGTCGGGACGCATGGCGGTCTTCTCCCGTCGGAGCATGATCCCTTGCCCAGGTCCTTCGAATGTGAGCACCGCGTAGCCTAGATCCGGCCCACTGGCCGCATAGACATAGTAGAGCTCCTCTTGGATGGAGTCCGCCCCGCCTAGACTGATCACCAGTGGTACCGACTGCTTCAGTCGCTTCGACGCGGGCGGGAGATACAGGTATCCGGGTAGGGGATACGGCTCGAAGGGGATGCTGACCGCAAACGCCGGACCGTTGCCTAATGGAAGCGCCTGCGCAAATGTGTCGATCACCTTGAGGGCCAGAGGGAGCACCCGAACATCCGGCGTATTTGGCGCATCGTGGAACATGTACCCGCTTGCGCGGTAGTAGTTGGATGCGCGCAGGAATGCCCGCCGTGCCGAAACCCTGTCCCCGGTGCGCATGGCCTCATCGCCCAGGGCCCGGGCTTTGTTTGCCTGTGCTAGCCACGCGCGATGCCAGCTTTCGGGGTTGTCGTTGGCGATATCACTGGCCGCCACGAGGCATTCCCCGATCTCGGCGCCGCCATAGGGGGCGGCGGAGAGAATCCGGATAAACTCGAAGTTGAAGAAATCGGATTTAAAAAAGCGATGCATTTCGACTGAGAGCAGGGAGGATTGAGCGAAACTATCGTCCGTCTATGTTATGTATGGTGTTGAACTTGGGACAAAATCGCATATCCGATGGTCGACCGACTCCGAATCCGACGGAGGCCAGCAGCAAGCCAGACACAGGCTCTATATGAGTACATATTCGTTTTTGTTCCCTTTTCTTCTCCGAGTGACTATACAATTAACCTCTATCCCCTTGATCAAGAAACAAGCAGCACCAAAATGGGCGTTGAACTCGTTGCAGCCGGCAGTCTGGCCCTGAAGATCCTCCGAGTGACTCCCTTGATCGCCATGACAATTCTGTAAGTGAGCCAACTCAGCTTCGTTTTGATAAAGAGGATTACCCTTAACACTCCAATTCTTTAGATTGGTCAACCGACTGGCGCAATACTTTGCGCTCTCCTCGTTTCTCCCTCCTTATACCTCCATCAAAAAGGTTGACCATGTTGGCGCTGCCCTACAACACTGGCTCCAAACGGTGGTCCCTCGAATTTGGACTGGAGTCATCGGTATCGTCTTGATTGCGCGGGTGGCTCTTATCCTCAATTTGTTTGTGCACACCGAAGACTTAGCCGGCACGTATGCGCAACTGCTCTACGGCATTGGCCTGTTCTTCTCGTTTGCGCACTTATTCATTGCCCCCACGATGTTAAAGTTTGAAACACGCATGATGAGTCCGGATACGATTCCGGAAGTGACATTGGAGCTGTTGGCCGGGTGGCTCAAGATCAATAACGTGCGGATTTGGGTGGTGGACGTGCCGTTCTGGGTGGTTGGAGTCCTTGCTACGTTGGAGTCATGCAAGATGTAGAGAATATCAATTTAGGGGGGCCTAGGAAACTGGATGTAGAGGAGAAGGGAACGGGATAAAGGGTCTAGGGAATGGACGGTTGCCAATTGGTTGAGTGCGCGGTTCGCGATAGAGAGAACAGAGTGAGAATAAACATAATGACTAAGCGGTCATGTGATATAAAAGTACACCTGAGGCAGAGATCACAACGCAGGCACCACCTTCTCTTAGTAGTCACCCCACGGTGTTCTACTCTCTAGCCCCCTACTACTCCCAGTGATGACCTTGCTCTTACCCTGTTTTGCAGGCAGGGCTGATGGTGCCCCTGATATCCCCGTTACAGGGTCCCCTCTCTAATATATACGAAGTGACTTTTTCCATCCCATACATATCCTGCAGCCATCATGCTCCTCCCACTGTCCACACCGTTCCAAATATGATCCTCCTTGCCTTGCGCACGGTGAAACGGGCGAAATTTCAAAAAAGGCCCCTTCTTCGCCCCTGTAACATGGTCCTGTAATGTGGACTCCTGGCAGTACTCCATTCCCTCGGCGGGTTCAAGGTCAAACCGCCAAATGATGTTGGAAAGAGTCAAGAGAATCTCCACCAGGGCAAGGCCTTGTCCAATACAGCTCCGCGTGCCAAGAGAAAACGACATGAAGCCCTCTCGAACCCCAGGAGGTCCGTCTTTCAGCCAGCGATCTGGCTGGAAGCAAAACGGGCCCGGATAAATCGTTGGGTTGTGGTGAATGCTGTAGACTCCAACGGCGACGTCATATCCAGCTGGAACGTGACAGCCATCGATCATCAACCCGCCTTCCTCAACCTCGCGCTAGAGAGCACTCCCCGTAGGAGGCGACAGCCGGAGAGCCTCATCGATGCAGGCGCGCAGGTATCGACATGAGTTCAACTGTGTCCCCGCGTGGATCTCCTCCGCAGACGCAAAACAGCTGCGGACTTCCCGGGTTACTCGCTCGTACACGGAGGGCTCTCTGCTGATATAGAAAAGTGTTGCTGCCAGAGTAGTAGCGGTGGTATCGGAACCTGCGTGGAAAAGAATTATTCCTCGCTACGACACGCGTTATTTTTATTATGTTTTCTCTCTCAACACTTACCAGCGACAATCAACGTAGCAACCTCGCCTCCAAGTTCGTCAATCCGCAATGTCTTCCCGGTGACAGTATCTTTGGCTGATTTGAGTTATGAAAAGACATCCCGCTCCTTTAGCAGGGAACTTTTCTTGACCCTCTCTGAGACCGACCGTCCGATGAACTTGATAAAGCGATTTCTCCAAAGAATCGACCGGGAGAACAGCCTCTTATCGAGCCGGAAAAGGGTGAGGATGGGAGCCTGCAGAATAACACTCACTCGAACATTGGATTCCTCAATAGCGTTAATGATGGGGCGGAACTTTTCCTGCCGGAGGGTGTCATAGCTAGCGCTAAAGACTAGGGCTGACATGATGTCGAAGGTAAGGTAGTCGACTTTGTGATCAATCAGCATGGGCAATTCATTTTAGGCAGGTTCACAGGACTATACACCACTTTGCCATATCCTGGCCTTTACTCCATTTTCCATCGTTGCTATTAAGATCGCCCTGGAGAATTTCGCAGAGCCTTTGTACTAGCTCGAGGACACGGGGCTCAAATGACCGAATGGCTGCGTCCGAGAAGCCCTGACTCATGATCCGCCTTCGCTGCGCATGTTTCTTCTTGTCTCGGAGCGTGAGGGTGTTGGGCGCTTGATGAACCAGCGTTTCATACACTTTGGACTTGCGGACCCGGCTCCCAATGCCGTAGATATCTATCCAGCCTCAGTGACAGCTCCACGGCGTGACATTCGTCTTGCTCAGGTAGGTACTTACCCGTTATCGCTTGGGCCGTATTAAATGTCAGTCGATCCGGTGCGTAGCGGATATGATCCCCTGGGAAATAATCAGTGATGATCTTTTGACACGGATGGATTTATGAGGCCCTAATTGTTACCGTATCTCTGATGGCACCGCCAAATGTCCGTGTGGATGTCACCCTTCCACGCATGGTAAGCCGCATAGAGATTGGTGACCCTACCCAACAGTGGTCCGGGATATCTAGCCAAGGGGTGAAAGGTGAGTCGATAAAGTACTAGTCCAACAATCTGATTTGGTATTGTCAGTAAAGACTAGACAACTAGACCACGCTGAATGTAACATACACAGACCAGACCCCCGACTACCAGTAGCCCCAGGGTTGTCCCGGCAGTGAGCACGAGCTGCCACCCTGCAGTATTCATTGGCACAATCACGGGAATAATCATGGTAGCGATTGAACAGAGAACTGATTTACATTGCGGCTGGATTGCTGCGAAGGGTTGACTATCTCTTGCCTTGGTGGCTCACTAGTAGACCCGAGTCCGAGTCCGACTATCCGAATGGCTTCCGGGGCCATTTGCGGCTAAAATGCAGCATATATACATTTGAAAAGGCCCCGATTCATACTAGACGCAATCTAAAGAAAATTTAGCAACAAAATGGTGACCGAATCGGAGTTTCCTCCACCACCAGCCAATCTTGGTATGCCGAAGACGTGCCCACTATTCTTTGCGACTTGATTCTGACATTGCTAGATTGGAACAAAATTGGCAAACAGATTCGTGAGGGTAAGACACAACCCTGTGAGATCAAGACTACAGTGTAGACATATCTTAACGTACTACATTACAGTCAACGGACATGTCCAATGTCGATATAACGTTCAAACGGGATGCTGGAGCGAGCCTGAGGTGGTCAAGGGAACTGATCTGACTGTCAGCGGACTGTCTCCTGCGCTAAATTATGGTAAGAACTTTTCTTGAGCGAGCCAAACATTGTGACCTTCCGCATTGACTGTGGAGAATAGGAATGCAAGCCTACGAAGGCATGAAAGGTCAGTGCAAATCATACACCCGCCGCCAAGTTAACCTCTATAACGTTGTCTCTAATGCTCCAATGCAGCCTTCCGCTATCCGAATGGACATATCCATGTGTTCAGACTGCCGGATCACAGCGCTCGTCTGCGCCATTCGTGCGAGTTTGTCTCTATTCCTCCTCTGCCAACGGATCAATTTTCCCGCTGCGTGGCGTTAGTTGTGTCCATCAATGCCGAGTTCGTTCCTCCGCATGATACCAGTGCGGCACTCTACATCCGACCCCTAGTCTTCGGCTCGGGACCGCAGATCAACCTCATCTTACCAGACGAGTATACCTTTTGCGTCTTTGTTTTGCCCGTCACGGGCCTCCTGGGAGCCAGGGCGGTGGACGCGCTGGTTTTGGAAGAGTTTGACCGCACAGCCCCGATGGGAACGGGATCGGCCAAGGTAGGGGGCAACTATGCTCCCGTCCTGAGGTGGTCGATGCAGGCCAAGTCACAAGGCTATGGAATCACTCTGCATCTGGATAGCAAAACCCGATCCGAGATTGACGAGTTCTCTGCCGCAGGGTTTATCGGCGTCAAACAGATGGGCGAGGATATCACATTAGTCACCCCGGATAGTCCGAATATCATCCGAAGCATCACCAGCGAGAGCTGCCTTCAGCTGGCACGTTCATTCGGATGGAAGGTGGAGGTCGGACCCGTGAAATACGAAGAGTTGTCCGAATTTTCGGAGATCTTGGCTGTCGGTACAGCGGCCGTGGTGGCACCCATTAGCATTAGTTCGATCACGAGAACGGCTCGTGGGGAGAAGTTTGTGTATGCACCTACGGCAGAGGGGAACTATCATTGTGCCATGAAGTTGTCCAAGGCAATCCAGGATATCCAGAGAGGTCTCGCAGAGGACGTATTCTCGTGGTGTTCCCCTATTATGAGGCCAGAAACCTACCATTCAAGCAAAGAGATCGATCTATAGGTGCACAGCATAACATAGATGGATATAGGGGATTGTTACAGGGACCCCCCTTTAGCTAATTCGACCCCCCTTTGGGGATTCAACTTACCGCCCTCCACATCCCTCAATGTCGAACTCCTTAGCAAGACCTACAATTTGTATATAAACCACTAACAAAATCAAGTCACTTTTATGACATCAACTACTTCATCGTCAACAATTACTTCAACAACTGCTCCGAAAACTGCTCCAAAAACTGCTTCAACAACTTCAACCGCTCTATCATTATCAAGGGATCAAAACATGTAGGTATGAGATAGAACACACGTTTTTTTTGGGTCAAAATGTATTTTTGACTATATAAAGAAGAATTCAAAAGTGTAGATTTAAGGATTAAGTCTGGCAGAATTGAATTAATGCCTTCTGTGTAAGGCAGAATCAGGCAGAAGGGGGGTCCTTGTAACAATCCCCTAGATGTAAACCAACGTCTAGCACTGTCATCATTTCCTCCTAGGCTGGTCAAAACTACGTACAAAACATCCAAACAAATACGGACGCTATTTACACATTCAGCCACAAGTGAAAACGGGAATCGCTGTCGGAGCCGTACTCACGTCCGACCCCGATGCTTCTCCCGAATCCGAAGAGGGCGAACACCCTTCCACATATTACAACAAATGGAAGATGAGCTCTGGGTGGGATCATACCGTCGGCGGTTAGAACAGGAAGTTTAGTTGTAGCCCGAAAATACTGGCGGATAAATAAATATATTCTAGCTCGGAACACAGGGGAATATGAAAGAATGATGAAAGAAAACTATCATACTATAATCCCATATTGTAATGATTCCGAAGACAAATTGTCTGTACTTTCCCTACGCCCAATCAAAACTCATATCGTAAAACGTATCCCACGTCTCGGATGTATGGCACATGGTTCAGGGCCCAGGCGACACACCGCACAAAGAGTGGCAACTCATTCGCTCCATCCTGATCCCCGAATCTCGCTATATCACGCAGGTATAGACGCGGAGCCAACGCTTCCAGGGCCTGTGGCTGATCAAGTCCCCAGGACATGGATGTCCTCGTAGCTTTGGCAATTTGGCTCCGGTGCTGCACCGCAGTCATAATCGATCCAACCGCATCAAACACCAATTGCCCCGAGGGAAACCGTTCCACCAGGCGTTGCAGTAGGCCTTTACCTTCCTCCTCGGTGAGATACATCACCAGCCCCTCCAGCAAGATCAATGTTGGGCGATCCGCGGGTATGTCCTGGAGCCACGAGTCCTCCACGACCGACGCATCGACCAATCGATAGTCTCCGCCGGGGGTCGGTAACAGCTTACGGCGGAGTGCGACAACATCGGGAAGATCCAGATCGATCCACCGCACCTTGGGTCCCCACTGGAGACGGAGGGAGCGGCTGTCGAGGCCACATGCTAGACAGATAACGGTCGCCCCGGTGTCCTCGTGACGTTGGATAAATTCTGCAGTCCATCGGTCGAACGTGCGGCTACGCATACAGATCGCGCTGGACTACATGCGGTCCATCTTGAGTTTGGCAAAGTCGTAGTCGATCTGATCCAGAATTCGGCCCGCCCACAGGTCGTTGAGAATGGGTTGTGGATGCTGCGTATCCCTGAATCGGCCTAAGAGCGTGCCCAGCATGGTTTCTTGCGCGCCGGTAAGGTGTATTTTCTTGTTATCGGCCGACGGTGCCCGGTCATTGTTGTCCCGCCGGCGAATTTGCATTTGGATCCTGAACGAAGGAAGGATGAAGTTGCCCATGACTGTCGGGGCGGGCCGCTCTGCGATGTTCTTGAGATCGTATTTCAGGACCATGTACGCAATCGCTAGCTTTAGTTCATGCGCCACAAAGAAACGGCCGGGACTGAAGTAGTCAGCAATGAGGAAATGATTTGATTTCGGGAGAATGTGTGCACCACTTACCAGGCGTGTCTGCCATGACCGAAGATAAGATGGGTTTCACTGGTTGTGACCATTCCCATCTTCCGGTATTTCTCTCCTTCAGCAGGATCCTTGCTTCCATCGCTCTGGGCCGCGTATTCTTCGACAGGTCGGGAATATCGGAATGCATCGTAAGACTCTGGGTTTTCATACAAGTCGGGGTCATGGTAAATACCATTCAAGTTCAGCGTCAAGGTACTTCCGTAGGGTATATGCCATCCTTCGTCCTTGTGGGTGATGCCCTCGCGAGCAATGACCTTGTGATCCAAGAGAGTGACGGCGAAATTGCTGCGCCTTTGGCTCTCCCGAATGGCACTATCAATTCGGTATAGTTTGGCGAGACCCGCCTTGCTCCACTGATAGTTCTCCTCTCGGAATACACGCTCGGCCTCCTCACGAAGGGCCTCAAGCACGGAGGGACCAGCGGCGAGGATATCGATCATGGCATTCTGCGCCGTCATAGCTGTCGTGTGGATCGAGGCAACCTCCATCAGCAGCGTCCGCTGAGCAATTTTAGACGCCTTCAACTCGGTTAGATCGCCCTCGAGCCGTGCCTGTCGAATGCACCAAGTGATGAAATCTTCCGGCTCGGTCCAGCTATTGTAGGCTGGATCACCTTTGGCTTTTCTCTCCATATCTATGAGCCGTTTTTGGATCACAGGAAGGGTCATTCTGACAGCCCGGCGATGGTGAAACCAGTTGGGAATCGCCAACAACGGGCCAAGTAGAGGATGGAGGCTTCGGGGTAAAAAGTCTAATAGGAAGACATTCCGCAAGACGCTTTCGGTGAAACCAACCATGCTGCTCAACAGCTTCGAGTTCCGCCCCAGATCTTTTCCCAGGACCATCCGATTCGTAATCTGCGGAATGAGACCCAACCACATGTCCCAGATATTGAGACCTTTCCATTTTTGCGTATCCAGCCCGAACTCTCGGTCAATAGAATCCTGAACCTCTTCCTGCATGCCAGGAGTGAGTTCACCGAGGGCCCGGATCAGGTTCCTGCCGATGGCGCGATTGTTAAACGGATCTTGGGGATGCGCATTGCCCAGAAAATTATATCTTGCGTAAAGCGAGTCATTGTTGGCTTCGTCTGCGCTGATCACCTCGTCCGATTGTTCCAGCAACCATCGGATCTGGGACTGGGGCAGGACCACCGCAGAACGTCGACCAAAGCCCCAGGGCACAATGAATGGCTGATTGTTTTTTGTGTACTGGAGGAAGAAGCTTAGAAAGTTGTAATAGCCTTTTTATGCAGTCTGGTCCACATACCTTCTCGTATCCCTCTTCTACCCAAACCTTGTGTCGAGCGTAGGCCAACAGAAAGTTCTGTATCGTTGCCAGAAAGCCCTTGCCGTATCCTACTTGAGGTAGCGAGTCGGATAAGACGCCTTGGTCCCATTTGGCCACGAGTAGGGTAAGTATGAGGATACCAAGTGCCCCGATGATGTGGTTTGTAGTGATGCCTTGGACAAAACTCTCTATGGCGCCAACCATATGTCTCGTCGAGACATCGACACCTAACACCGTGGAGTGAAACGACATCTTCTCTTGTTTTCCCTTTACTCAAAGATGAGAAGTGGAATGCCTACTTGACACTCAGTTTCCAGATTTCTACTTGAAGGTGTGTCTGTCGCTGGCCATTCGACCTCCGTATCCGAACCACTCGGATTCGGCCCTCCGAGCGCACAAGAGCCACCTCCGGCAGGGGACTAACTACGCGATATTATTTCATCGCATAGAAGATAGATTTCCCTGTATTCATTCGATGTGTTCGTCTTAATGTCACCTCGGGTGTGGGAACTCGCAGTCTTCGCTACAACGGCGACTTATAAGCATCTCCTCAACCTGTTGTTATCCCCTCAATATCTCGCTTTTCCCATCTATCCGTCTGCAAATAAATCAAGACAAGAAGCAACCATGACCACGACGGCCAGTACACAGGTGCAGGAGGAGTACAAGCCCCTTACCGCAGATCTTCCCCCCCCCCCCCGCCGAGGGGCGACATCACCACGCCGGTCCTGTTTTCCCATGAATTTGACCAAGGCACCAATGGATACATGTTCATCAAGAACCCACCGCCAGCCGGTGTGCTGTACACCAACATCCGCCCTGCCCCCTCCATGGTGACGGTAGAAGACCTCCGTGACAAGGAAGACAGCGTCACCCTCGACCATGACTCGCTGCAGATCCTGCAGGGACTGACAGACATGCCACGCAGCCCAGCGGTTGACTGGGACTCAGACACCAGCATCGAAACCACCTTCTACCCGGCGGTCGAGGCGGCCATCAAGAATGCAATCTCGAGGTCACACACCGTGCACATCTTCCGCCACGGCATCCGGCACGGCCTGTCCCGTACAATCCACCGGCCATGATCGCCCATCTAGACCAAACCGGTCCCGCGGCAGTCAACCGAGTGCTAAGGCACATGGGTCCGGTCGACGGCCCGCGCTTGCTGCAGGGACGGTACCGGATCGTTCATTTCTGGACGCCCCTCAACGGCCCCGTCTATACGTGCCCCGTGGCCGTCGCCAGCTCGGCCACTGTCAAGGATGAGGATATTCGCATCTTTATTAGTCATCTCGGTGGGGTCGGCGGCCTGGGCATGCCTTTGGGCCGGCCCGTGGCAAAGCCGGATCCTGCCGAGCAGTACCGCGAAGATTTTGGGGCTCCGCGGTACGCGGAAGGACAGCGATGGTTCTATTTAAGTGGGATTTCACAGGATGAGGCGATGCTAATTCAGATCTTTGACTCCAAGGCGTTGATGAAAGGAAGCGAAGTAAAGGGGGGTCGGGCAGTCCATTCGGCCTTCCGTGACCCTAGGACACCACAGGGTGCTCCCGATTGTTGGAGCATTGAGGTCTCCTGTCTTGTTTTTAGTGACGAGTGATGCTTTTCTTTTGGGGTTTAATTCCGTGAAGGATAGGTGCAATTAGTATTCATATTAGGTAGGTAACGAAGAGCTTTTCATGTTTGCATTGTTTGCCTGTAGGGTAGTTAACAATTACTTCCATTGACAAACATATATATGACATTCTGCTTTCACATTATTAGACAAACGAATTCCATAATAAATCACTTCTCCCAAGTCAAACCTCGATCGCTATATGACGACAATCATTCTTTCTTTCCTACAACCAAAGATGTATCCACACCCGCTTCAGAATCCTTAGCGTTCTCAGACTTGCCCTTCTCGTCCAGTCCGTACTCAGTGTCCAACTCCTGACGCAAAGGAACATCCTTTTCCAAGAGCACGACCAGCAACCCCAAAGCTGCAAAAGCAATGGCCACTTGCCAAGTCCGCTTGATGCTATCTGACAGAACTGAAACGAACTGCTTCAGGGTTTCTGACGGCAAAGTGCTACGAAACGCGGCGGTAGCATGCTCGTATACTTGTCCGCCGAGAAGCTCGGTAAGGACTTGCTGGTCTTCGATGCGTCCGGGAGCAAGCCGATCGAAGCGATTGTTCAAGATGGCTGCTGGAATGGCCGTTCCCCACTGAACACAGTGTTTGGATTAGCATTGGGTCTCATTTGCAGGGTCCAAGGGCTCGTACCATCATGCCAAAGGTACGTAGGAATGACCAGGTTGCAATGGCCAGCGCGGTGTCAGCTTCTGTCAATGGTGCTAGGACGGCAGGCAGTAACGTGGGAATGACTATATGGAGGGGTGAGCAGAAGACAAGAAGGGGCAAATCGAATGGTCCATACCTAGACCCGCACCAGCAGACTGTATGATCTGAAATCCTACCCAACTGCCTGTGTTGGAGCGCTCGTCTAGCAGAGTCAACAGTCCGAAGCCAATAATCACCAAAGCAAACCCAGCACCATGGATGAACCGATATTGACCTAGCTTCGACATCAGGGTTCCCCCTAGGCCAGCAAACGGTACTAACGCCAGAATGGTCGGCAACAACTGAATACCGGACCGGGTGGTCGACGAACCCAGGACCCCTTGGAAGTAAACGGGTAGGAAGAAGAGTGCCCAAATTGTGATGATCCCGTGTAGGAAGGTCAGAATGAACGCTATCGCGGACTCCGGTTCGAAAAGAGATGGAGGGGCATCATTGGATGGGGAGCGAGTCGCGGCGACGCTTCAAACAACATGAAGCCCACTAAACCCAGCATGCCGATGACCAAAGGCACAATAACGTGGTAGGACGACCACGGATACACAGCGCCGGCCCAGGAGAGCGCGATAAGCTATGCCAATTAGCCATCAAGGCCCCAGCGGGAAGAGCAAGAACGAAAGAAAATCAAAATCAGACGTACAATAGCGCTTATCGTCGCCACAAAAAGCACGTTTCCCAACCAATCGATCTGTGTCAGCTTATCCGCAAAGGTCTTTTCCTGATTGTATTTTACATGAAGGAACAGGATCAGAATCACCAACGCCACGCCACCAATAGGCAGGTTCAAATAAAACACCCAACGCCAGGTGGTGTGTTGGACAATGAGGCCGCCGAATAAGGGGCCCAAGGCCGTGCCGAGCGCAATGACGCCGAAGATCATACCAATGTATTGCCCTCGTTGCCGCAACGGGACCAAGTCACAGACAATGATCTCAATGAGGACGTTGATTCCTCCGGCACCCACACCCTGGATCACGCGTCCAGCTATCAGCATTGACATATTGCTCGCGCCGCCGCCGATTCCGCTGCCCAAGATGAAGGTGGCGGTGGAAACTATGGTGGGCCAGCGTCGTCCGAATACATTGGCCAGCTGTTGATAGTGGTTTGGTTCGTCAGCGCGCCTCGAACGGGGAATCAGGGGGGTGGGTGTTGGTCGCGGTACATACATGGCAAGAAAATAGCCGTTCACGGCCCAGACATAGCGGTCACCTCCGCCCAAATCTGCGATGATTGAAGGCAGTGTGGTGGAGGTGATGGTGCCATCCAGGGCAGTCATCATGCCAACAAAGCAAATGGCGACGAGGATGGCATAGAAATGGGGCCCTTTCTTGAAGGTAGCAGGAGCAGCCGCGGACTTGGGTGGGTTCGTGGGGCCACTGTCCCGCTCCCCGTCAGCACGTTGGTTTTGGCCTGGACCTGTCTGTTCCGGTGTCATCTTTCTTGCTGTTAAGTCCCTCGGGGCGGATAGTGACTGTGTGGGTGGTGAAATGGTGAGACTGGCAGGTAAGAGTGACAAGATCGGAGCAGCCCTCACTCCGGGGGGATGGCTAGGGTATCCATCATAGCGAGGCGTGCACATTCTTTGTTTGATCGATTTCACTATTCTGGAACGGAGTCTTGATTTCTAATCTGATGGTTCGGAGTCGGACATCTCTAGTACATTGATTCGGAGAGGGTGCCATTGGTCACTGTCCTCCACACTGCTCCACATTGCCCCCAAATTTCCCGTAAGCTTCTTTGTAGCTTATTCATCGAACCAATTTATCCCCATAGTAATAATAATGACAGTTGTTGAGAGACCGATGCATGACTGTCCTCCACTTATTCCTATTTCTCGGGACATTTACTGTCTTCCTTGGGAAATAGCAATAAGTTCTCCGGTGAGACGGGAAGGTCTCCTGGTATGGGGCTGGTGGCACGGACCCTTAGGGGTAAAGTGGATATCTCGGGAGCCCTCCGAGACACTAGACCGAAGAGAGTTAGATCTGTTTGTTATTTTGTGGAGACGCAGGATCCCGTTAGGTATGGATACATACATTGACGGGCCAGAGTGCCGTGCGGCCCGACTTCGATGAGCAGATCAACCGCGAGCGTGCCATCAGACTCAGCCGGATTAACACAGAGGTTGCGAAGGGCGTCGAGAAACTCCACAGGCTGTACCATGTTTCGCACCCAGTGCTCTGGACTCGCGATTTCTTCTCCGGAGTACATACGGTCGCCTGTCGTCGGGGATGAGTAGATAATTCCCCCGTCATAACCAGGTTCTGGCTGCAAGAACCGCGACAGCATTTCCCGATAGTCGTCGGCAATTGGCAGCATATGGTGAGAGTGATAAGCCGCTTCGACCTTCAGGCGGCGAGCAAACACCTGCTCTTGCGCCAGAATTGCCTCTATCTCCTCAATAGCGATCATATCGCCCGAGATAGTCACGCTGGATGGGCTGTTGACGCACGCAACGACGGCTTTCCCGGATTGAACCCGGGAGAGCACGGCTTGGGCATCCTCGCGACCCAGACCGACGGCCACCATCCCGCCTGCACGGGTCGAGCAGCCTTTGAAACTGACTGGTCAGATCGCCCCGGCTGTAGACGATGGCCATGGTGGCCGACAGGCTGATAGCTCCGACGGCATATGCAGCGCCAACCTCTCCGCTCGAATGGCCGGTGACTCCGGTGGGGTGATGCCCCAGGATCGGAGGAGATCTATCCAAGGTATGGGATCAGTCATTGGTATCCATAGGCGCCACGAGTCAAAATGGATTGCTTTGGCCTACCTTTAGTTTCAAAGTCTCCAGCGAGATCTTCTCGTTGGGGGACTCATAGTTCAAATGCGGTGGGATTTGCCCCTTCTCTAATGCCATGACCGCCTTGATAATACCTGCAAGACCACTTGCCGCTTTCGTATGGCCAATGTTGGTCTTGACCGATCCGATCAGAAGCGGGTGTTCCCCGGGTCGGCCATTGCCAAAGATCGTGCCCAGTGCATGGGCTTCAATGGTGTCTCCAGCCTGGGTCCCGGTCCCGTGGGCCTCGACATAGGCCGTATCAACGGGGTTTAGAGCCGCCACTTCATAGCATTCCCGCATGAGCGTCTGCTGTGCCTCCTGGCTCGGTGACGTCAGGGTAGCCATTTTCCCATCCTGGTTGGCGGCGGTATTGCGGATCACCGCGCGAATGGGATCGCCGTCGCGGAGGGCCGTCTCCAGGGGCTTAATTAGGATGGTGGCCACGCCGTCCCCGCGACCATACCCCGATGCCCGGGAGTCAAAAGCAAAGCACTTTCCTTCCGCGGAGAGAAGACTAGTTCTTGTCAGAAATTTCTCTCTCTCTTTCCCTCCCTGTTCAAGTCTGAACATACCTGAGGTTGATTCCGGAAATAAACATATCCGGGTTCAGGAGAACGTTCGATCCCCCTACGATGGCCATGTTGCTCTCGTTGGCTCGCAGGCTCTGACAGGCTAGATGAAGTAGGGTGAGAGTGGTGGAGCAGCCGGTGTCGACCATGAGACTGGGGCCTCGCAGATCATAGAAATGGGAGACCCGGTTTGCAATCATGGCCGCCCCATTCCCGGTCAAATAGAAGCGCGCAAGGGTGTCTGGGTCTCGCATTAAGCTGTCGTGATTATCTCGAAAGCAGGTCCCCGCAAACACGGCCGTTCGCGAGCCCGCCACCTGTTCGAGGGGAATGCCGGCATTCTCCAACGCCTCGTATACCGTTTCCAGTTGCATTCTGACCTCCGGGTCCATTACCTGGTCTCGTCAGTTGGCAAGAAAAATGTCAGGGTGGAATGGTGCCCTTACACTAGCCATTTCGGAAGAGAGGTTGAAAAACGACGCATCAAATTGGGAGGCATCTTGGGTGAGAAAGTGTGCTCCTTTCACGTACGACTGTAGGGAACCCAAAGCAGACACTCGTTAGACCACTTATTGAACCTGGAATGGATATAGATGGGGGTGGAAAGATGAAATACCGTCCCGAGGTGCTCTTTGTCTGGATGATACCAGGCCGCCTGGTTGAAGCGACTCGAAGGAATGGGGGACCAGGCACTGCGGGCGTTGGCACAGAGTTCCCGCAGCTTTTCGGGGCTGATGGCATCCCCAGGAAAGCGGCAGGCCATGCCAATGACGGCAATGGGCATGACGGGCATGTCAAGCTCTGGTGCGAGGGAGTGATCCGTATAAGGACTGGGAGTTGGAGACACTGGGATAATCATTGGGCGAACCGCTGGATCGATGAGCTATCAAAATGGCGATATAGGTTAAATCGCTGTCCTTTGCGCACAGATCCGTTCATTTTAACGTTATTATTATAGGTTGTCTCGCTGGCGAGCTTTCCTTATTGTCGGTATACGCTATGTGGCTCTCCATCTTCGGATCTGACATTGTCATCTTGTTCGGTCGGAGTCGGAGAAGACAAAGAAACAGACATTGGAGGGTTGAGGGTCTGGATGGATCCATTAACGCTAAGCAGGGACAGTTGTCTCAAACGACAAAGAAGAGGCGTCGGAATGACTCCGTTCGGTCTAGGGGGAAGAGAGGCTTACTGGCTAGCCTATCCGGGTATGGGTTCGATATTACCCCAATGTCTGAATTGATTAATAAATTGATAAATGGCCTGTCATCCATTTAGTAAGATTGGGGGTCGTTATTCTGTGCTCTCCCTCATTCTTCCATGCTCTAATACCTACCGAATATATATTTCCCTTCCATACGGCCTTCTCTTGCGAAATACCTCGCGATGGCCTTCACCGCCCAGAATACCACTAACCAAGGCGATATCTCGCAAGATGCCATCCTCGACCACCCCCCGAGGACAGTATCTCCGAACTGGCCTGGTCGCCTATCGCCAACCATCTCGCCGTATCGTCCTGGGACCACAATGTACGGATTTACGATGTGACGCGCTCGGTCAAGGGCGAAGGCAAGGCGATGTTCTCCTTCGGCGGGCCCGTCCTGAGTTGTGCCTGGTCGCCCGACGGCTCCAAGGTTGTGGGCGCGGGGGCCGACGGGTCGGCGCGTCTCGTAGATCTAGCAAGCGGCAACCCCACTACAGCTCAGGCCCAGCAGGTGGCGCAACATGACGCCCCCGTGCGCAGCGTGCGCATGGTCCAAATTCCCAACAGTCAGGCGCCGATCGTCGTCACCGGGTCGTGGGATCGCACCGTCAAGTACTGGGATCTACGCCAGTCCACCCCGCTTGGCGTCCTGGAATGTCCCGAGCGAGTGTATGCCATGGAGATCTGCCAGGGCCAATTGCTGGTCGCCTTGGCCGATCGCCAGATCAGCCTCGTCAATCTCAACCAGCCCACTACCGTCTTCAAAACCCTACAGAGCCCGTTGAAGCATCAGACGAGGACCATCTGCTGGATCCCCGACGGGTCCGGCTTTGCGGTCGGCAGCATTGAAGGTCGATGCGGTGTCAACTATATTGACGACGCCAAAAAGCAGTGAGTAGCTAACCCGCACCCATACAGTATCCCCGATAGATTAATTTCCAGGGAGAAAGAATTGCCCTGATGGAGATGTGACCCGCAGATCAAACTTCACCTTCCGATGTCAACGCACCCCCAAAGACAACGACCCCAAGAACCAACTGGTTTATTCGGTCAATGCAGTATCCTTCCATCCGCGCTACCACACCTTCAGCACTGCCGGCTCCGATGGCACCTACTGTTTCTGGGACAAAGACGCCCACCATCGGCTCAAGTCGTTCCCTGCCGTCGGACACAGCATCACCTCTACCGCCTTTAACCTCGACGGCAGTATCTTTGCCTATGCGATCGGCTATGACTGGAGTAAAGGGTACGCCTACAACACGCGCGATTATCCGACTAAGATCGCCTTGCACCCGGTGTCCGACGCCGAATGTAAGCCGAAGGCGACCACGACCACTCGGAGGTGACAATCGGGGTCGGAAGATAGCTGGATAACACAATGTCAGAAATAATGTTCCGATGTGTTACAAATGTGAAGGGGCAGAGCGGCCAAATGTCAAATGCCCGACCTTTCAGGTTTGTGGTCTGAATATGCCTGAATATAGACTGGCAGAAATCGAAATACCTGAAGTTACCATGACAGCGGGCTTGATAAACAAAGCATCTAACGTTGGAAGTTGGAACTCAGTTCAAAAAATGAAGTTATTCCTACCATACAAATTTCCGTATACACCCGTTTTGTACGGTCGGAGATTGATGGGGTTTCAATTTACAGTTCTGTCTCATTCATTTTTACGCTAGTATCAACTTAGTCCTAATATAGTAAGGTTGTTATAAACTGCGGTTTTGATCTCGTTCAAATTTGATTAAATACAATATACATTATGTAGTTTAACAAACCAGCCAACTACCTTACCCCTTCTCAAGCAATGATACTCTTAATATAGAAGGGTATCATTTCGATCCAAGCCAGAATCTACTCCTAAGACAATTTATCCCATACTTTCTCCTAGGCCTTAGCCTTAGTTCTTGATATCGGACCCTTCGTTATAGTATATATAGTGGGACCTCCGAAATATTCGGCTTAAGAAATGTACCTAAATAAATCGCCTTTTGAATTCTGCCAGTTCTGCCAGTTCAAAACTTGTCAGCAGTAACATTTGGTAGGAAGGCGGTCTATTTAGGTACATTGGCTGGTCTAATATATCAGAGGTCCCGCTGTAGTAGCTATACACCACTATTACACGCTAGTGTATTATTAAAAAAAGCAAAAAAGGGTTGAGACAGAACTTTTGCAATGGACCTCCGTACACGGTAACTATAGAGCGGTGTCGAAAGCGGTCTATAATTAAGGCAAATTAAGACACAAAGCCTGAAAAATCGGGCAGGGGGCAGTTCACCCCCAAAACACGTGACCGATAGCCTATCTTATCTCCACCGGTTGGGTCAACTTCTGTAATTTGGTTTTAAACCTCACCAATACCACTTTCCACCAGTCATCTCTCGTCAATACCTCTCATCAACCACTGAGGCGGATCAGGGAGGGATAACACGAAGCAATTAAATCATAACCTCGCGTGCGTGTCACGTGAACATTCTTTTCTCCTTATGGGCTCCAAAATCATTAGAATCAATGCGGTGAAGAAGTAGTCGGTTAACTTTGGCAGAATAATCCAACCGGCAGAATAATATAGACTACGATACTTTCTATTACGTGCTAGCTAACCAGTTACTAAAGCAGTTGCTCAAGTAGTTTCTCAAGCAATTTCTCAAGTGGTTGCTTAAGTAGTTGGCGATAAAGCAGTTGATTAAGCAGTTAATAATGATATGACAAAAGGGACTTATTTTTATTAGTGGTTTACATACAAATTGTAGGTACCTACTGCCGGTGGAGTTCTCACGTGATTCGGGTGGATCAAAAAATGGCACACAGGTTGGGTGAACTGTCGTTTCTATTTTCTGATCTCGCAACGCACACTCTTCTCGTTGCCTGCTTTGCGCCGAAAGCTTTCTGACGCCCTGAACCCATACCCCATAAATAAACAAAAAGAGCGATAAAGAAGACGTCACGTTCCAGCGGTAATAACGACACGAATCTGCATCACAGTATTGTCGACAAACGAAAGTAAATAGAAATACAGATACGAAAATACAAAGCGTGAACCTCCACGGCGCGGGTTAGCAGCTAGTACCCGAGGGTTAGAAAATGTGTCCTATAAGATTGGATGTCTGTAGAACCCAAGGGGTTCCAATATGCGCCCCAGAGGGTGGTCTGATGTGTAATTTTTCTGATTCAATCCGGGGGAGGGACCGGAAGAGATTTTCGCTTCCATGATAAACTCCGCGAAATTGCGAAGAGAGAAAAGGAGAGTTGAAAAATCAGAGGAGAAAGGAGTCGGTGGATCTTCTGCCGTCCCGAGTAACTTTCGTCGGCCCGAGGCCGTCGGCCCGGAGCGGCCGGCCTTGGCAATGCTTGGGCAAACTCTCCAGCCAACTTTGGACTCCAGATCAGTTTATACTGAGCTCCACTTAATTTGCCAAGTCTGGGCGAAGGAATCGGCGGGCCATTTGAACGGTGGATATGTTCAGGGTCCATTTTTGTGATCAAGTTAAATTTATTCATATGAGGAAATTGTTCATGGCCGAAATATACAATTGCGACCAGATGATCCTCTATCTAGTACATATAGAGAAACTTGTTGAGCACCTAGCATTCAGGAACGGACTCCTCGACAGAACAGCAATCAATGTTTCTCTGGCCTGCACCGAGTGTCATGCCTGGCTCTTTCTCTAGAAGTAGCTCGACTACCTCGAGATTAGTATACTATCTAATACTAGTTATTCTAGGCTGTTTTGTGGTACAAGGGTAGCTAGACTTCCCATAGTGAGAATGGGAGGCAGGCTGGTCAGGGCGGGCGCCGAGATGAGTGATCCTATCACTGACTAAGACTCAACGGCGGAGGTCACTGATCTATAGTTGATGATCAAGTTTTGAATTGACTTGGAGTAACTAAGTAAATTAAAGTACCTGGAGCATACAGTCTTTGTATCTTTGCTGCTGGGAAGTATGTCCTGCTGGATTGCAGTCCAAATCAAAGCGAATATTCTCCAAGGGCACATCCCCAGCCCCAGCTTCGATCGCCGGTGAGGTGAACCCGTCGCCATCCTTGAGCTTTTTGTTCGGCCGTGGCGAATCGGTCCTCCATGAAGCGGCTGCGTGATAGATCCTCGTTGTTCAAGTACTCATGCGCGATCCCAGGGCCACCAATAAGTATCTGGCCTGGAATTCCAACGGGAACGGGGTTGAGCGCTTCGTCGACTATGTAGATCGAGTAATTCGGGGCCGTGTGTCCGGCGACGACCGACCCACGGTGCATCCACTTCTGTGGACTCTGGGTTTTGCTGCGGAGGTACGGCACTTGCAGTTTGTTGGAAGACATGCTGGCTTCGGTTGGGCCATACCCGGTGATGACCATATTGTAGCAGAGCTTGGCGGTCAGATACACACGCGAAGGGCAGTAATGGAAACTCCGCTGGGGGTTCAGGAAATTCCTCTCTCTAGAAGGCCAAGTCTTCATTCCACGAGCCGTTATTTCGCTGCTGACGTTGTTTGGCCGCGTAATCGGGGTACTGAAGTAGAATGGGGATTGGGTTACTTGGCGAGAACCGGGTATGAATTTTGATTTTAAAAAATTTTATATTCTACCTATAGGATTCAACGCCTTGGTGGATGAAGCAGTTGACGATGAAACAGTTAATACAAGATATGACAGGAGTGACTTATTTTTGTGAGGAGTTTACACACAAACTGTAGGTACCTGCTGCTGTTATGCTACTATCACATGCAGTTTAATACAAAAGCGGTGTACAAATTAAGACGCGGTGAGGAGAGTGGTAGGCAGAAGCAAGTGAGGCAGGTGCTCAACCCAACCGGGAGGCGGTACCGAAAATTCACGCAATGCAAGCAACAATTCCCTAATTATCATTTTTCCAGATGGTTTACTGGCTCTCTCTGTCATATATGAACATGAAGGAACACCGTCGCAGGCCCCCCTGATAGCCAGAGAGGACGGGAAATTAACATTGAACAGGATACATCTACACTCCCATGAGGAAGGCTCTTCCCAACCGCTGCGCATCAACTCTCAACAACCCTTGACGGTGACATTCCGCCCCAAATAAGTCTTCAATCTCGGACCGTAAATCGCGGATCAAGACCTTTATATCTAACATCCGCTCCAGACAGCGAAGCACTAGGCTTTTGACCACGTTGATGATTGTGGTGGGCAAGGCATCAGTGTCATACTCATATCGAATTTTTAAGCCGCAATCATCAGCCTGCCATTCGAAGAGACATGAGAACTTCGAGCCTTCTGTGGAAATTTGAACTGGCTTCACTCCCTTGACAGGGAAGAGATTTTCGACGTTACCATGTGTCCGTTGGTCGTGGAAAGTGACCACGCAATCGAATAAAGGTTGTTGTTGTCTTTGCCTAAGAATTTGATGGCTTGGGAATGGTAGTCCTAGGTGATTCAGCAGCGAAGACCAGGGAATGGCATTTGCCAGCGCAGACTGAGATGACGATCGAACTTCTTCAAGAACGTTCTCAGTTGTAGAATCCGCTTTTTCCAGCAGTATTCTAACTGGAAAAGGCTGAAGAAACAAGCCGACCACTTCCATGTCCCTTGTGTCAGATCGGTTCATGTATGGAGACCCGAGGAGTACATCATGTCGGCCACAGATAGTCTGAAGAACGATACCCACTACTGCCAAGCCAAATTGATGCAGTGTGGTTCCTTTGAGGGAAGAGATAGCGAGAAGGCTTTTGTATAACGATGGCGGAATCGTCTGGAACACGGACTCTCCGTGGTAGGATCGGCATGATGGATTCTCAGTTGGAGTATCTGGAGCCCGACCGTCTGTGATAGGAAGGCCCTTCAGATAAGTACTCCAAAAAGACAATTTATCACTGCCAACGGGTTGGTTCCAGACTGTGCAGTCGAAGTACTCGCGCCGGACGGGCTCCAATTTCCGACCGTAGTATACAGCAGCGGTTTCGCGCAAGATCACATTGAATGAAGTCAAGTCACACACAACATGCGAGGCGCAAATGACGAGCTGATTTTGGGAAACCACGGCGCGGATAGGGCTTTCTTTGTCAAGATTGAAGGGCGCGTTGATATAATGTCCGACGTCAACTTTCCGTACGACAGGCACGATGATTGACTCGCTTGTGATTGAACGAAGCGTCTTATTCGCCTGGCTTGTAAACCTGGAACGCAAAATTCTATGGCGATTAAACACTATCTGGAGTGCAGAAGCCAGCTTTTGGATGTCAACATCAGTCGAGAGCTCCGCCAAGTAAGGTACATTGAAGCTCGTTGTTGTCTCTGAATGTTGGTAACGATGTATCCATTCGATCTCTGCTGATGAAGGAGTTTCTAGACCAAGTGGCTGGACTTGAGCTTCTGGTGATGCCAGTGGTGTGCCATGTACCTGTGACTCACCCTGAGTTTGAATAAGCCGGGCTAGATCTCGGAGCGTTGATGCGGAGATAATATCTTTGACGGTGATTGGTATGTTGAAAAGGCTTTTGATACGAGCAGCCAGAGCAAGTTGGAGGAGAGAATGACCACCAAGGACGGCAAAGTCATCTGCCTTTGATATTTGCCTCTTGGAGTCCAACGTCAACAATTGTCTCCAGATGCCTGCGAGGGTCTCCTCTAGAGAATTCAGAGGCTGACTTGACTTGGGAACCAGTTTGACGTGATTGTTTGAGACAAGGCCCTTGATATCAATTTTACCATTTTTGGTTCGGGGCAGCTTTGTCATGGAGTAAACGCTTTTCGGGGCCGAATGAGGTGGCAGTGCCACGGCCAGTTGGCGTCTCAGTAACTCTGTATCGATTTCTGGCTCAACCCAGAGTACAACAGCGCCGTTCTCTGTGACTGCGACGGCTTTGGAGACCGAGCACATCGTCCGATAAACGACTGCTGGGATGTCATCCAAGTTAATACGGTATCCTCGAAGTTTGACCTGCCGATCATCTCTACCACAGCAATGCAGGTTGCCATGTTCATCCATAAAGCCAATGTCCCCGGAGCGATACATCATTTCTTGGCCAGAGCCCTTGCAGAATGGATCGGGTACAATTTCTTCTGCCGTCTTCTTTTCCATTCCAAGATACCCGCGGGATATCTGAACTCCAGCGATATATATTTCACCGATCGTCAGCATAGGTTGCTGCTCTAGGTGGTTGTTGAGAACATATATGCGTGCTGATGGCAAAGGGCGCCCGAGAGTAACTGGAACACCAGGCATCAAACGATGATGGCATACCAGCAGGGAAGCCTGGAAATGGACTATTAGCTCTATTGCCTATTCCAATATATCAATAGAACGGGTCATAATACCTCTGTAGGCCCATAAATATTATAAAGCTCCCTGCCCGAAGCCCATCGTTCGACTAACGCATCTGGCACAGGTTCTCCGCCGAAGTGAATCTTTGTGACAGTCAGAAAATTGAAATATACTATAAATTTATGGTGTGCAAACGGATACCATACCGATTTCAAGTTAGGATAGTCTCGTGGGTCCAGCTCTGCAGCCAGGGAAGGGGTGAGTGTTGCTACATCCACATCTGACAGGTGAGAGAATTTATCGTCCTTTCCTCGGGGTAGTACCAAAGTACCCCCAAAACAGACGGTCGAGAGAATCTCGTGGATACAGCCATCGAATCCTGGAGAGAGCATCTGACCAATTCGTGTGCCGGGACGGCTTGTGGGTCGAGCGGACGCGGAGGAATACAGGGCGACAACGCCCCGATGCCTACACAGCACTCCTATGCCAAGTCAGTAATTCCGCGTCATGTTGAATATTCCCGAAGACGCACCTTTGGGCTGGCCAGTGGACCCAGAAGTGAAACAAAGATAGGCCGTAGAGATAGGTTGTGGTAACCTAGGTTGGAAATCCGCTGGCTTGATGTTTTTGTTCAGAAGATGGTCTATCGCTAGTGTGAGTGGACCGTTTGGCCCTGTCTTTTCCATTTGCGAAGTATTGGGAAGCAGTAGAACTTGGGCACCGCTGCGTTCAAGGAGCTGAGCACGATATTCCTCAGGGTACGACGCGTCCACCGGACAATAAACCGTGTTGGCTTGCATCGCGGCGAGCATTCCGACAATCCAGTTGCTGGATCGGTCTGCCAAAACTGCAATGACTGCACCAGCGGGGACCAGCAAAGCGATAACGCTTGCGATTTTATCCACACGTTCAGCCAGTTGAGTGTATGTCAAAACCTTCTCCCCTTCTTGAATGGAGATTTCTGAAGCATTGTGCCACGTTGAATATTGGAACAGACTGCTGATGGTTTGACCCGAATTGCATGTAAAGCTGGAAGTCGAGTTACTGTTTCCGGCTGTCAATATCTTCTCGCGCATGTGCGGGGGAAATTTCAAGCTGAGACACTGCTGCACAGAGAACCGGCTGTGAATCAGGGAGTGTAAGATGCTATCATAAATATCTGCCATGTCTTGCACCTGAGTTGGTGAGAACATATCCGTCCTATAGAAGAGGCGAATACCCTCATCTGGGTCGATCACTAGGTTGAGAGGGATGTTTGCAGTATTTTGGAATGACGGATCTTGGAGGCACTTTATGGCTGTCGTTCCTCTCCTCAGCCCACCATCTTGAACAGCAACTGTGGTAGAGAATGCTGGTATGTTTGATGGAATTTCCGAAACGTGTATGCTAGCCAGGCCTTGGATTTCACGATGAATCTGCTGCAAAAACTTTTCGGTAGACGAGGACCTGTCAACCCGAACAAGGACAGGTAACGTTTGAATCAACGGGCCTATCATGGTGTCTGCCCATGAGAAAGGAAGATTGCGGCCTGAGAAGACACTTCCGTACACTATTGTGTCCGAATTGGTGTAGGTTGTGAGCAGCAGTATCCATGCCGCATTAAATATGGCCGCTGGGGTGACATCCACAGTGCAGGCGTATTCTACGACTTTTGCCCGATCTACACTCTCAGATACAGAAATCTGAGCGTGGCCTGGTTGACGGGGGCTAAGCAAACTGGCGTTTGGAGATGCTATGTCTCCGCACGCATCAGGTATGAGTGGCTCACGATCACTCCAAAATTCCTGGATCTCTGTACGTGTTTCACGACGTAGCTGCTCCATATCCCTTGCTGCGATAGTGAACGGGAGAGAGCTCTCAAAGGGTCTGCCTTCAAGAGCAGCATCCACTTTCTGGAAAATCAAGGAGGCCGAAAATCCGTCGACTAAGGCATGATGTACGGTCCACACCACTGTGCTTTGGCCTCTGTTGAGCCCACTGCCTTCGTAGTGGAAGACCGCAAAATTACTGCCCAGGTCGGCACGGCTGATTAATTCCTGTAACGCCACTTCGATATCATGTTGAGATTTCACCGTTGTTTCTTCCCAAGCAAACGAAGCTTGTGGCTGCACATTCT